GGAATCCACTAGAGGAAGGTGAAATGTTTCGTCCCTTTTGTATTTGATTTCGGGGTGGGTATTCAATTTTTTAGGTTTTTCTTAGAGGAATGTAGATGATAAAGAGAGGAAAGGTTAGGAGAAGGGCTTTAGACTGGTTTGTTTCCTCATTGCCACTGATCTCCGGTGGCTGTAGGGATTTGTTAATTCTTCTCCAACGATGGGGAGAGGGGCTGCTTTTGAGAGAGTTTCTTCTCTAGTGAAAGGAGAAAAAGGGAAATGAAGGTAAATGGGAGATGAATCGATATTTGGCTTGGGATTTGGGGTATTTATCATTTGAGTGAAACGACGTCGCATAGGAGATATTGAGCGTTGTGTTTAAGGGATAATATTAACTTTAGTCCTCGTAGCTCTGTAATCTTACATGCGTGTTTTTCGATGTAAAGGGATAATTGAATCTTTAATCCCTGTGGCTTTGTAATATCACTGTGTTTTTCATTTCTTTAGGGTTTAATTTCAGTTTAGATTCCTTCACATTTGTAATATTTTATTTTAACCATGAATGAAACTTTGTGTTTTTTTTATTTGAGTTCTCTATTTATTTTATATTTTATTATTGCCATTATTATGTAAATAGCATATTTATGCATAGATTCTTAATTTAGCTTCTATGTTTTGATTTATTTATGGGTATCCTAAGTTTGTTTTAATGCGTTCTAGTCACTTTTTCTTCATTGTAGTGTCTTGGTAAAATTGATGTTGGTGAGAGGATGTTCCATTTCTTTTCGTTTTAATCCTATATGTTGTTTTAGGATTTATTGCTGTTTTAATATTTATGTTATATGATGTTTATACATAAGCTATGATTTTATGTATGTTTATTATTATGCCCCTAAAATCAGTGTTTTGATATTTAGTTTTTATTTTTTAGGTATAATTAAATTCTGTTATTGGCAATTTTGTTTATCATCTTTATATATACGACTTTTAGTCCAAATTTGTAACTTTGTTATTAATAGTTATATACATATACATATATATATATAGTTATATTAAGCATTCTTTGTATTAAATTTTATTTCTTTGTTCTGCATGTCCACGTTTACAATTTCCACCTTGCTTTTTTATAATCATCATTGTTTTTTAATGTACAAAAAAAAATGAAAAAATTTATTATGAGAGAAATTATGAAGACATCTCCCGAAATAAGGGAAGGTATCTTTTCAATGATTTTTTACCTAAATGTTTATTTTTATTTTGTATTCGATAATTATCTTTGTTCCACGTTTATTTATTTTGATTATTTTCAACTTTTTTCACTTTTATTTTATTTTATCTTTGCTAAATATTGCGAAATAATATCTTTTGTGAGGAAATCTATGGGGAAAGTCTCATAACCGTAAAGGAAATATTTTTCCGAAGATTGTTCACACAAAAAGATATTTGTAATCCGAAAATTGATATTTTAATAAATTCGAATGAATATCATGATCGTAATTTAAATATATTTTTGAGTTTGTAATTCTCAATATTTAAACAACATATAATCGTTTAGGTGCCAAAATTTGGGCATTGTGGGGGTGCTCACCATTCCCCACACGTAATCGACTCCCGAACTTTTAAAAATGAATATTTGGTGAAACACATACCATTTTTCTTCTTTTAAGGTTTCTAACCTCCTTAACTTAAAGGTTAATCACGACTCCAAAATCAAATTATTTTCCAAATTAATTCCAAATCATCAAATTTTCAAAAATAAATAGTTCTTCTTTTAAATGTTTTAAAATAATATTTAGTTACTTTGTAAAAAAATAATTATGACAATATTTTTTAAAATATTATAATAAAAAAATATCAATTAAATTAATGATAAATAAAATGTATTGATGTTTTTAAGAAAGGTTTGGAATTTGACAACTGATTTACTTAAAAGAGGAAATCGATGTTCCTGTCCAACAACGGAGACAGGTTGGAACAGGTGTCTTGTTTATTAGACAAAGTTAAATATGTCAAAACCATGACCTCAAGTGAAATGAAAAATACATGCAACAGCCCCTCTTAATACCACCACACGTACAGCTTAGACCACTCTCTTTCTTCACCATTTTCTGGTTTTATAAACAAAACCATCGATTATCCAATCACAGAAATTGTTTGCATTCAAATTGTATGTGTCCAAGTATATGACAATAAATTAATAATTTTTATATATGAAAAATGAACATCCCTATTAAAAATATTATTATATGAAAAAAAAACTAAACTGGAAATATCTAATACCGTGACAATTAACCACACAAGAAAGAAAAAAATGAGATCGGTGAGGATAAGGGTAATTTAGAAAATCAAGGAAAAGACGAGTGAGAAATGGACAGGTATGGTGATATCCTCTTCCTTCACCAGCCTTTCGCTTGGGATAAGAACCGTCCCTACCTCCACACTCTCTCGGCTCTCCATTCTCCAAATATCCTACGCCATACCCTTTACACCCACAAAAATTATACGATGAGTAGAATTTAATTAATTTTAATATTAAATATTTATAAATTATTGTATTTAAGCGATGATAGATTTGAAAATATTTTTAAAGTAAATATATATTAATAATAATAAAAATTATACGAGAGAGCACAAATAAAATTTTAAAATAAACATATTCAATAAGATAAACAATTAATATAAAAAAATTTAAAAATTTATATCCACCTGAATTCTACGTACACCAGTTAGGGGTGTGCATTATCGGATATCGGGTATTATCCGATCCAAATTTTTGGATATCCAAAAATTTCGGATACTTAAAATAATGATCCGTATCCGATCCGAAAAATTGGATATCTAAAAATTCGGATATTCGAAATTTCGGATCGGATATCCAAATATCCGGATCCAAATCAGATTTTATTTTTGCAAAAAATTAAAAAAAAATTAACATGAATTAAAATATTCATATTTACGTATTTTCCAACAATTTGTTTATGTAATTACATGCACACTACAATTAAAATTTTAAATAACACTGTACAATAAAATAATCTCTTAAATGTTAAATAACATAAAGTAGTGTACGTTAACAACACAATTATTGAAAACATGTTGATATTTTGATATACCAAATAAATTTGTTAATTAATTTTTATAAATTTTAAGATTATATTCGATTCAATTATTCGAATATATATATATTTATTACTTAAAGCTTAAAACGTCAATTTTTACTCCTTACTCAATATTTTTTGAAATAATTTTTACTAAAGGTTTCAAACTTTAATCGAGTCAAAAACTCAATTTTAACTAAGTAGTACCGGTACTGCTAAGGCAGTACTGATACCATGAAAACAGAACCTTAAAATGGTACCGATACCATGAAGTGGTATCGATACTACTTTATATAGTAGTATCGATACTCTTTTGACAGTATCGATACCGTTATTTTCCAACGATCAAATTTTTGAATTTTATGTAATAAGTATCGATACCAAGTGGTATAGTATCGATACTACAAGTCTCGTAGCATCAATTCAAGTAGGAAACAAGACCCCAACAGCTCTATTGACTCCCACAACAATTTGAAACCAGAAGTTTGTCTAGACTATCGTTGGTGACGAACTCGTATACCAGAAGAGAAATCAACATTTTGAAACCAGAAAACAACTTAAGAGCAAAAATATTGTAAAGTTTGGTAAAAGTTCTAATAACTAGAAAAGTAAGGAATTTTAATGACCTAACTGAACTAACAACAAAATTATCCAATATTTTCAAAGACTAGAATAAGGACAATACAAGAATAACATTAAGTTTATATGCAGCATCAAAAGACTTTCATGTGCATTGATTATTGTTTCTCAAACATTACAGGTAATACAAGTTTGACGAAACCAGAAACAAGAATCATTCGAATCAGTTAACCATAAAGACATATTGAAAGTGAAATCATTATTCTCACTAATTAGAATCCATTAAACAAAGAACTCTGAAAATATAAAAGATTTCAACACAATTAGTTAAACCGAAACCAAATTAAGATTTGTTGCAAACACTAAACTTTTCAAGAAAATAAAATTACAGTATTGAGATTAGACAAATATGAGATTAGATAAATCTCAAGGGAAAATGGAGACATTTGTAGTATTTGTTGTTCATCATACTTTTTATATGCAAAATTTGAAACTTTAAATATCTAAAAAGTAGTAAAAAAACCGTCCTTTAAAGAATCTAGAACTATTCAACGAATCAAAAGGCAACAAAGTTCAACAAAAATTATCCCTCCATTTTCTAGGCAACCAAACAAGAGTTTCAGTGATTAGATCTTACCCTATAGACAGATCTAAAATAACCTTCACCGAACTTATGATGATAATGGAAATTATTGGTAGCAGCAACTAAAACCTCGAAAGGAAAATGCTTTGAAGGGCGTCGAAAAATTCTAAGACAGATAACGAGGAGAATGAGACGACAAAAAACAGGAAAATGAGGGTACAAACAACTTTGGTTCGGTGTAGAGTACAAACAGAAACAACTCTACGTCAAATATAGCCCAAATTTTTTCGGGTTTTCGGATAATCCGAACATGGTTTTTTATCGATCCGTATCTGATCCGATAATCCGAAAAAAATTTCGGATACCCGATCTGAATTATCCAAAAATTAAAAAACCGATCGGATATCCGAATTTTTAGATCGAATCAACAAATCAAATCGGTCCAATCGAATTTTTTTGTACACTCCTAACACCAGCTGCTGATTTAAGTTCTTTTAAATTTTATTTATTTTGTAGTTAAATTTAGTTTGAGTTAAAAATGATTGTAGACAATATAAATTTGAACATTTATAAATATTTATTTTGCTTTTTGCGTTAAAAGACGGCAGATTATGTTAATCTCCAGGGAGCGTCTATTAATCATTGTATAACAACAAAAAGTCACAAATGGAAAATATATTGTAATTCAGAAAAAAAACCAAGTGAATTTAATTTCCCTCTATCCATTAAGAGCTCACTCTAGCTGGGATACAAGCATTTCGTTCTCTCTCCCTCTCTGTGTGTGTGTCTGTGTGTGTCTCTAGCAATGGAATCGCGAGTGTTGTCACGCGCTTCCGTTATCTCCGGCTTACCTCAGCTCAGGCCGAAGCTTGCCCGAGGGAGTGTCAACCTGTCCTTTGCTTTGGCTAAGCCGATCGGAGCTGTCGGTGAAGGCGGGAACGTCATATGGGGAAGGCAGCTAAGGCCCGCCTTGCTACTGGAGAGCTCGTTAGTTAAAAAGCGAGAGGTTTTGAAGCCGGTTTCAGCCGCCGCGTCCTCTCCGGCCGAAGGAGGAAGCGATTCCGCAGGGTGAGGTCCGTTTCCTCCGTTCGAACTCGGTCAACTCGTCCACGCTTCCGTCACTGACTCACTGACTCACTGACTCGATGTCATTGCAGGGATGCGAAGCCGGATGGATTCTTCGAGAAGTATCCCGCTCTTGTTACCGGCTTTTTCTTCTTCATGTGGTGAGTTTCAAGTACAAAACCGTTTCAACGAGTCACTTCATTCCGGTCCGAGTTCACTTCATTTCTTTTTGAAATTACATGATCTTCCATTTATTTACTTTTGATTCCAGGTACTTCTTGAATGTGATATTCAACATTCTCAACAAGAAGATTTACAATTACTTCCCTTATCCTTAGTGAGTACTTGAGTTTTCGTTTATATTTTTTGATTCTTAATGCTTGTTTATAGCATGGTTTTATTGTTGTGAATGATTCTTTTCATTCCAACTCTGGCGCAGTTTTGTATCGGTCATTCACTTGTTCGTGGGGGTGGTTTACTGTTTGTTGAGCTGGGCTGTAGGCCTCCCTAAGCGGGCTGTAAGTGGAACCCTCAAGCCTACCATCTCAAATCTTACTATTTGATTTTACTATTATATATATATATATATTTTTTGATACATGTTTTTTTTTGCATTTGATTCTTTACATCGGAAAATGTGTGATTAACTGTTGCGTTGGATTTAACAATACGTAGATTATGTGGTTAAAAAGCTCTCATCGATACATCTTTTCTTTCTTAAATTGTGTATTCAATATCTAAAAGTAAAATTTTAAAATTTCCTTTCCCTCCCTAGGTAGGAATTATTAAAAAAAAAAAAAACTGTTGCATCTGAGAACTTTATTGTCGTATAGCATGAATCTTATTAAAGTGCATATGGTGTAAGAAACCCGTGGCTATGTTGGGAAGTGTACATGAGTAGTAATTTTCTCAGAGGAAAAATGTCAGTAACTTTAGAGTAAAACAAGATAAATCTTGTACTTCTTTCACAGTATGGGGTCCTAAGGTCGTTACCTTCTTCCTTTTGATGAAAACGTGAGAATTTTACAACAATTTTACCCTGATAAACATTATGCAATTGTTGTTTTTCTTGTGTGCAGCCTATCGATGGAAACCTACTGAAGTTGTTGATCCCCGTTGCTGTTTGTCATGCACTGGGCCATGTAACTAGCAATGTCTCCTTTGCAGCTGTTGCTGTCTCTTTCACCCACACTATCAAAGGTATTAATGACATCATGAATCTATTCTCTTGTGCATACGTGTATATATATGTATCATCATAAATGTATTGGTTAAGTTCGCTATTGCTTATGAAGCTCATAAGGCTTAACTTGTATGTTTTTTAGCTCTTGAGCCTTTCTTCAATGCTGCTGCTTCCCAGTTCATACTTGGACAATCCATTCCAATCACTCTATGGCTGTCTCTTGCTCCTGTTGTTATCGGTAAGTTTTCTGTTCTCTGTTTGATCACCTTATTCAAAGCCGGTTCAAGTTGCAACTTGTATTCTCTTAGTTCCCTAACCCTTCAGCTCTTAATGCGCATACACAACAAACTATAAACTCTGTATTTTATATTCGCATATCGCATTCAATGGTTCAAATTTCACCATGTTTGGGCGTCATTAATAAGTTGCAAGCTGAATGCAGGTGTGTCCATGGCATCACTGACTGAGCTGTCATTCAACTGGACGGGTTTCATTAGCGCAATGATTTCCAACATCTCCTTCACTTACAGGAGTATCTATTCCAAGAAAGCCATGGTGACCTTTCTTTGAAACTCTCGGTATTTCCATACTTGTTCTTTTTTACAGAACCTAAGACTTCAATAATTGTTGGTTTTCCATGTATATGCAGACGGATATGGACAGTACTAATGTCTATGCTTATATTTCCATCATTGCTCTCTTCTTTTGTATTCCCCCAGCCCTCATTGTAAGTAAAAAAGAAATGTTCCAATGACATGCAAATGTAGTGTTTTTCGACTGTTAAAAAGTTTAAGCACACAATCTGTTTAAACCTTTCCATGTTTCCCTATATGCCTGTTGCAGTTTGAGGGTCCTCAGTTGATGAAGCATGGGTTCAATGATGCTATTGCTAAAGTGGGTATGACTAAGTTCGTCTCAGATCTTTTCTGGGTGGGAATGTTCTACCATCTCTATAATCAGGTAATTTTTTATTTTTCTCCATTTATAACGTTTTAAGTTATGTTATTTGGACTTGAGTGTGTGCGTTAGAATACACGTGTGTATCGACAAGTATAGTTGGAGTTTTCATGTATCTGAAGGATTCTTGGAGGTCATATTTTTATAACCATATGTCAAACATGAGTACTTGTAAGAATCTGATCAAGTTCTCATTTTTTGGCCATTCAGTTAGCTACCAACACACTGGAGCGGGTGGCACCACTTACTCATGCAGTGGGCAATGTGCTGAAACGTGTGTTTGTCATTGGCTTCTCAATCCTGGTCTTTGGTAGGTTCATAATTTCACCAGAATCCGTGATTTTCTTCTTCATTTCAGGACATAACCATATCTTACAATCTGTACTTGGTGCAGGAAACAAGATTTCAACCCAGACAGGAATTGGAACAGCCATAGCAATTGCTGGAGTGGCAGCCTACTCCTTCATCAAGGCCAAGATAGAAGAAGAGAAACGAGTGAGTAAAGTTCATTTATCACAAATACTTGATTCATGAACAAAAAAAAATCTATCTACTTCATCTTATAATAACTTTTATTGCTAATGTGAAACATAACTCGAGTCGAAAACCGTCTTAATTCGATGTCGTTGGAGAACCAACACATCCAAAATTATGTGTCGGTTCTTCAACGACGATTTTACGTTATGCCCTGATAATGCGAAATGCGATTTTCTGTTTGCAGCAAGCGAAAGCAGCATGAGAAGGAAAGAAGAGAGGCATGGAAATGAAGTCCGAATGGTGAAGTTTACTTTCTTCTTTTTTTTCCCTTGTACCCATCATTTTTTAATTTCGGAGACAAACCATTTGTAACTTTGGATCAGCTTGTGTTGACTGATAATGATGTTTACTATCATCACTTATAAATATTGTCTCTCAAACTAAGCTTTATTTCATCAGAAGCTTTTTCACATGGTGAAACAGAATATGTGCCCAAAAATGAAGTATATATCATGTGAATAATATTTGTATTTTCAGCATGTTGACAAGTAGTTTTTAAGGCATTATATACTCTTGAAATAGATCCACGGCTAATCAATGAGACGAGACGTCATCATAATTATATGTTCATGGTTAGTGAACAGGGATGGTAATGATCGGGTTGAGTTAGATTTTTAACGATATTGAATTAGATCTTAATATTATACTTCTCACTTCACACTTATTCAAGTCGAGTTTAAAAAAATTTATTTGATCCAAAATTTGATTTAGATTAAAGGTAAAAATTTCGTATATTCTAATTTAAATATAAAAAATTCTCTTTTTCATTCAATAAAATAAAGACTTGGTTGGAAAAAAATAGACAAGAAAATCGTAGCAATTATTTCTAAATATATAGTTGATAATTATACTATTATCTCAAGATAAAATAAAGTATCGAGTATGGTGTTCTCGTTTGGTCTTATTATATTTGTATTGGCAAGTATTTTTCTCGTAGTTTATTCTTGTAAATGCTTTCATGGTTATTCTTTTACTCCGACTAGGTTTAAAACTGTCTTAATGAGATCTATAGGAGTATCTCCCCTTTTAATCAAAAAAGAAATTTAGAAATTCTATTAATTAAAATGTTTTAAAATTTAATGACAGTTTTTTAGCCCAAATTCATAGGTCGACTAGAATGTATCCAATAGAAGGAGCAAGCCAGTGTCCAAGAACAACATAACTCAACACCCTTAGCCTACGGCTCGATTTCCCTTCAGCCACCCACACCAGGCACACCAGGAACACAAAGTGCTAACATTTAATTACAACCAAAACAAAAAAAAAACAAAATTAAAGAGTTGAAATTTCCAAAATATTATTTTTGATAATTTATTAGCCTTATCCCTCTTTGAAAGCTCACCACAAAACACATCGAATTCAATAAAAAAGAAAATAAAAAAGAAAAGGGATTAATTGTCAGTGCCAAAAAAAGAAAAAGAAAAAGAAAAGAAATTTATTATGGAATTTGTAATTGGCCTCAAGAGAGAAGACTGTTTTCGTTTTTGTTTATGTTATTGTTCTATTCCTAATTTCACTTTATCTTATTTTCCTTTTGTTTTCTTAATAAAATTATTAATTTTTTTAGTTTCTTTCAATTCGTTGTTCATCTTTGAAAACAATTCTCACCCTCTCCTTTTCTTGACTTTTACGATATTTCGTGTTTTTAGAGGGAGCAGGGCAAGAGTAGGAAGAAAAAAAGAGTGAGAAAGAGGGAAAAAATCAACCTTTTTTTTGTTGAAACCCTAAATTTGTTATCTTTGATTTCTGGGTATTCTCCAATGGAGCCTGGTTCGGAAGGAGAAAACGATCAGGTGAAAACTCCGAACAAAACTGGTAATAGTTCCAATGAAGGTAACGCGAAGCCTAAACGACAGATGAAGACCCCGTTTCAGCTCGAAACTCTCGAAAAAGCATATGCTCGTATGTTTATTCACCTCTGTGTTGTCTTGTTGATTTGTATTTTTTTAGATTCATTTACTTTTTCTTGGGAAATTTATGGTGATTTTTATTTTTTTTCCTTAGTGGAGACGTATCCATCTGAATCGACACGAGTCGAATTATCAGAGAAATTGGGATTAACAGATCGGCAGTTACAGATGTGGTTTTGTCACCGGAGATTGAAAGAAAAGAAGGATACTCCTACGAAAAAACAACGGAAAGGTGTTGCCTTACCACAAGGATCTCCAATAGATGAGTTGCGGGCCGGGCCTGATCCGGAAAACGGGTCTGGGTCTGGGTATGGATCCAGTCCGGGTGTGGAGCCGAGGAAATTGACGGGAGGTTACCCTCGGGGCATGATGGATGACGTCTCGCTGATTCATGCCCCGCCGTTGAGGAGGTATTATGAGTCACAGCAGTCGATAATGGAGCTAAGAGCAATTGCTTGTGTGGAGGCACAGTTGGGGGAGCCATTGAGGGATGATGGTCCTATTCTCGGATTGGAGTTTGATCCATTGCCTCCTGATGCATTCGGAGGTATAATGTTGCTTCCATAGAGTTCATATTTTTGTGAAATGCAGACTACATTTCGCAATTTCATTAATGCATTTAGAAAATTAAATGTTGTTTAGTTTGTTTTGCCTTGTGATAGTTTGTGTATTGTTGTTATGTACCAGGCCTAGTACTGGTAGGTGAGAACGGAAATGCATGTTTTGATTTTTTTTTTCTTTTATGAACAGCGATTCCTGAGCTGCAGAAGAGGTCTGCGCAGTCTAATGATAGACAAGTATACGAGGGACATGATGACTGCCCAAGCAAAGTTGGTTTCTCAAATCCCCTTTTTCATATAACTTTTAGTATACTTAGATATTAAAATCGTGTGTTTGAAGAAATTGTTGTACTGTAATTCAGTTGTGACAGTTTGTCAGTGGTAGGATGAATTCTCCATCTGCTTTTCAGAATAATTTGATTGAAATTTAGCGGCCATACATATTTGCAAACTATTTCATTTTTATGATGCTGGTTTTCTCTTCACTATGCTTATTTCTTCGGGACTGGTTAATGGTTATTGAATGTCTTAATGTGATATAGTTGGTTTAGCAGTCTAGCCTGTTTAAAGTGATATGCTGCTGGGATGATTATATTTGATCTTTTATTTATTTTGAGCCAGATGTTATGCTATATTTAATATTGAAAATGCTTATTATTATTCATTCATTTATTTTTAATTTTGTTGGAATGAAACTTATATTACATAGTGTATATGGTCGCTTTATTGTGATATCACATGAACCATGACCTCAGGGTGCTGCAAGGGCTTTTCATGAGTATCAGTTTCTTCCCGAGCATTCGAGTCTTAGATCTGGTACATATGGACAAGTTACTCAAACTCTTTTTCATGAATCCCCAGTCGATGGTGCAAGGGGTAGAGCTGCATCATTTTTCCATGGAGAGGAGCCATTGTCCAGGGTTCATGATATCCGAAGTCATGGATCTCGAGTTCATGTTTCACCTCAACAAGACAAGACTGGAATTATTCCTTTATCATCTCAAGTGGTCGAGGATCCTCTTGCTGAAAAGGAATCATTTACAAATGGCAGAATAACTGCTCAGTCTAGTTTCCATACGGTTTTGGGATCTGAAGATTCATATATGTTGTCTTCTGGGCAAATCTTGAATAATGATGCTGATTTACGTAATGATAGAAAGCGCAAGGTGCCTAGCTTACTTTAATATGTTTCGTATATTATCACTTTCACAATTTCTAATTTTGTGTCATCTTTCTTCTTGTAGAGTGATGAAACTAGAATTGCCAGGGAGGTCGAAGCACATGAGAACAGAATTCGTAAAGAGCTTGAGAAACTAGATAATAAAAGGCAGAAGGTTTGCTGTTTTCTATTTTTTTTCTTTTCAAATTGACCTGGTGAATCATCGTATCCATTCATATTATGAAAATTGTTTTTCTCAGAGTGAAGAAAGAATGAGGAAAGAAATGGAAAGGCATGAGCGTGAAAGAAGGAAGGAAGAAGAGAGGTTATTGCGTGAGAAGCAGCGAGAAGAGGAGAGACTGCAGCGTGAGCAAAGACGTGAAATGGAAAGAAGAGAAAAGTTCCTGCAGAAAGAATATTTACGAGTTAGTTTGAGAATCCATTAATCTGAGTTGTTTTGAGTATAATGTTATGACTGTAATAAAAAAATTGTGAGAACTCTCTTTCTTTTTGTCCTTGGTTTTAATTTTGGGCTTCTTTATAGGCTGAGAAGAAGAGACAAAAGGAAGTGCTTCGCAGAGAGAAAGAGGAAGAAAGACGTAGAGTTGCCAGACAGAAGGCAGCTGCACGAAAAGTTGCTAAAGAGTCTATGGATCTTATTGAAGATGAACAACTAGAACTCATGGAATTGGCTGCCACTCGCAAGGGATTACCCTCAATTATTCATCTCGATCATGAGAGTTTGCAAAATCTTGAGTCATTTAGAGGTACGTGTCTCTTGAAGTTTGTATTTGTCTGATTGCCTTTGTATAATTTATACTTTGGTTTTGAGCTTTCTGACTAAGAGAAAAAAACCTAAACTTTGATGTTACTTTTCTGAAAATTATAGGTCTAACTGAAACTGATTTGCTGGTTATCAAGTATGTTAAGTTGCTTCACAGTTGAAAACTATATATTTTTAGATTCTCTTGTGCCTTTATTCTCCCTTTCCCCTTGAAATTCAACCATTTTGTTGAACCACTAGATGTCACCAATGTTATGAATATTTTCAATGTCATTGGTTGGAAAAACGTTTCCCCCCCTTAATGAATAATTATAATATATTCTTAACTAGGAGGATATGATTGTATTTGTAGGTGTATTAATTGTCTTTCTTTTGCTTGAAGCTGGAAAGATTGGTTATGTTTCTCTTACTGTTTTTGTGAATTTTTGAGTAAATCTTTTTGATTTTTCATTTTTTGATGGGTTATGTTCTTTTGCCATCTATTTTGACTTTGTAGCACCTTGGAGCTGATTGTAACACTTTCTATTTTAGGCTCTTTAAGCTCGTATCCCCCAAAGTCTGTGCAATTGAAAAGAATATTTTCCATTCAACCGTGGATTGATTCTGATGAATATGTCGGGAATCTTTTCATGGTATGTGGCATACTCCTCAAACTTTCTTCTGCTTTAAATTACAAGTCTAATGTTCCTTCTCATAATTTATATTTGCAATTTGTTTTCTAAATGATTAAAGGTAACGTATACTCATGGTACTTTATTTCTAAAAGTAAAAGGTTCAATAACACAATTTCCTTTATCAGGCATGGAGATTTTTGATTACTTTTTCTGATGTTCTCAGACTATGGCCTTTTACTCTTGATGAGTTTATCCAAGCTTTTCATGACTATGTAAGTTTCTAATGGAACATTTAGTTTTCTAATTTCATTTTATATGCAGCTTTCTTGTTTTAATATTCTGATCATGTTGACATTAGGATTCAAGGTTGTTGGGTGAGA